TGGCGCGTATTATTTCGCCATACATTTAATAGCTATTACCAGACTCTAAGGGAGTTAACCACTGTTAAAAAAATGTACACTAATGTACAGGGTGTTGCATCACTATACTGGTCAGTATGACGGGTTGCCCATTTGTACAGGCGCGCAAGATCGTTCACAATTGTGTAGACTTCGGCGGTACAATCAATCACGGCGGTATAATCAATGGCACACCTTCTTTTCTAATAAAGTTCGTAGCATATCAAATTGTGATGCAATTATGACGAACTTCCGTAGAAATAGGTTAAAACAGAAGCCGAAGTGGCAAGATATACAAAAGGTTACAAAAACGAATTTTGTCATGAAAACGAAGCATGTCTTCCTTCTTATAAGAAAAATTCAATCATAGTCGATCGTAATTATTGTGTAATATAATTTGATTATTTGAATTATTTTTACACAGAACGAAAATCAGAAATAAACATATCTTTGCAAATTTAAATTATATTACATAATGATTATGATCGACTATGATCGAAGTTTTCTTATAAGAAGGAAGACATGCTTCGTTTTCACGATAAAATTCGTATTTATAATCTATCTTGTCACTTGGGGGCTTCTATTTTATAACCTATTTCTACGGAAGTTCGTCATAATTGCATCACAATTTGATATGCTACGAACTTTATTGGAAAAGAAAGTGTGCCATTGATTGTGCCGGCGAAGTCTACGCAATTGTGAACGACTTTGCGCGCCTGCTCGAATGAGCAACCCATCATACTGACCTGTATGGTGATGCAACATCCTGTACAGTGATTGCTAATTATGGCAATACAACACACTTTATTGCTAGCATTGCTATTGTATTGTTAATATTGTTATCCTATGTATTGCCACCTATTGCTCGCAATATTACCAAGTATTGTTAATGTATTGCTATGTACTACTATATATTGCTAGCGTATTGCTAGTACTGCTATTGCTAGCATTGTCTGTTTTATTACTGTACTGTCGCAATATATTTTTAAAAAAATGTACACTGAGATTGTCATAGTGGTTGACCCCTCGCCAGACTTTTTTTTTAGTGTACGATAAGGAATAATGAAGATACTCATAATACACGACCATGCATACCTATCCGAAAAACTCCCGTGTCTAATAAATCAATAATGGTCTCGGGACTTTATGAAGTTAGAATGGCTTAATATTGTTTACTTTATAAATATTAACATGCAGAACAAAATATCTTACCTCAATGTAGATTGGGGACCTTATGAAGTTAGAGGAAAAAACGTAAGAAATAAAAAAGTACTTATTTAATATGATAAATATCCGAAGTCCATAAATTTAGATCAAACTTCGCAACATATTGAAATGTCGTGAAGACAGATGCATCTTTTTACAACAGTTGACACTTACACTAGTACCAACCGTTACAGAAATATAAAGGGTGCTCATTTTACCTGCAGTGCTTATAATACCCGATCCTACCCTAATTGTAATTTGTAAGAATACGTATTTAAAAAGATGTACTAACTCGAGGATACATGCATTAAACAAGTCACCCATAAGATTAATATGAAAACAGTAGTCTCGTACAAAGATGAATAATATAATTCTCGCAATATGATCGTCACGTTTATGTTTAAGTAGTAAAGCTTCAAAGTATGTTGTTAATATAACTACAACAATCCATACTAAGACACACCATGTTGCTTTTTTGCGTTGTTTGTCATAATCTGTTGTTGTTCCTAATTTTAGCAAGGTGTGGTCGACATTATCAAATTTCTTCAAACAATTTTGGAATTTCTGTCACGAAAATAGAATAGACAAATATATATGTGAATAGACAAATATATATCATAAGTATTCCGATTAGATGAGCCAGTCCCGATCACCTTGATCTTGATATATGTCAAGATCATAACTCTGAATGACCTTCGGAAGGTTATTCAAGGTCTGTCATTTTTAGTCCTTGGTATTGTACGTTAAAAAGTTATTAATAAATACAGTGTAGGTACAATATATATAAATATATATCTAACTCTATAGTTTAAATTTCATTTAGTATAAATATCACATTATTAGCATATTCGCATATTTTATAAATTCGTGGACCGGAGTGAGACAGAATTATATAAACGTAGACTTCATCTTGCCCAAAAATAGAAGGAAGTATCTCACTTCGCGCAGAAAATCGAAAACCATGTGAAACTTTGCTCCATATGGAAAGTTGTGAACCTATGTGAAACCTCGCTTTATGTTGAAAAATGTATGCGTGCAAGGAATGGAGTTAGCCTCTTTCTAAGGTTGGAGGAGTTTCACTACCAAAAAACTAGTCATATAGATTTGAGTTGAATCTTGTTTCGTGTGGAAAGTTAAATATTCACTGTGAAGTTCTACATATACTGACAATTTCTCATGCAAAGCGAAGTTCAATTCAAACCTATAATGTGTCTAATTGTTTGATAGTGGAGGTTCTCCTGTAAGAGGTGAAAGGCGAAATCCACTACATTCACGTATACACTTAACGCGAAACGAGATTCCGAAGACGCAAAACAAGATTTACTTTTCACGCGGAACAAGGTTCCACAAAAGGTTTCGATTTTTCGAATGAAGCGATATCTACCCTCTCTTCAGTTTATAGGCCAAAATATCGTCTATATGATTATAAAGTTTCTCCCTCCATATCTCAATAATATTTTACATTAATAGCTATATATATAATCCAATATTCAATTTGTTAAAAAATTTGTAATGAAATTTGTTTTATTTATGAAACTTATTTTGTTGATAACTTTTATGAAACAAAAAACAACGACCGACGCTATGAAAGCCAAAATTTTTGAAGATCAGAATCATTACCTTGACAGCATATGTTGCGGTCAAGGTGATTGGGACTGATTTCCCTAATCGGAATACTTATCACAGTTTTCAGTTATAAACAAAATGTAGAATTTATTTAAAATTATATTCATTATATATACATATAATAAATATTATACATTATATATATATTTTTATATATATATTTCTATAATATACATTATATATATATATATTTCTATTTAATTGTATAAATACACATGAAAATGTTATTCTTTTAATTTTTTTATTATTTTTAATAATTGCTTGGTTATTCTTAATAATTGCATATTTTATAACAATTGCTTTTTATTAATAATATTACGAGTATTATAACATTTCTTTACCTTATTATGATATATTCCAAATACGATTGACAATAATGCCGTAAAGATTTCTAGATAATGGCACATATGGTTCTCCAAGGAAAAAAACGCGTGAAAAGAAATTATTAATGCATGTGATGAGAGGAAACAGTACACTGACCAAATCAGTAGCATATATATGATGTTAAACCATAATTTTGAATGATTAGATATGGCAATTCTTAAACCAAATACGTAACTGACTATTAAAAATGGTGTTAAAATTGTACGAATACTTTTGTCCATTGCACACATAATTTTTATTTCAAACTGTACCTTTGTTGATAAGTTGCAAGTATAAATTGAATGGAATGGTAAGACAATACTAGACGCAATTTCTGTTAAAGCACTTAGGAATATTGAAGTAATCAATCTACTACATTTTATGCTCTATTATTTATCGAATCTTATAAATGCATGATGGGTATAAGGGAGACTGGGGTCAGTAAACTAGGGGAAAGTTGCCGAATGCGTACCACTTAACCTATTTTTTATTATATTTTCCATTTGGCACTGTTTTATATGCAAATGAAAATTCATTTTTTCGATAAGTCTCTTAATTTCCTCTGTAAATATTCGTAACTAAAAAATGAGTCTACTATCCCCGGTCTCCCCTACTTTTATTTTTACTCATATACATTGGTATATAAAAAGTATGAATATTCTAGCAGTTTTGTTTTTTATTTTTTCATTTGTTCTTTATAATGCGTATTTAAGAGTGTCATTAAACATTATTAATTTCAATTGTAGATATAACAAATATACATAAATAATACACAAACATGATTAATACATGCAATTATGTGTGAATTGCTTCTCTATTGTATAAAAACAATTTGCAATTGTAATAAAGGATTCATAGACAGATGATAATCGATGTAAAAGAATAATAAAAAATATACTTTATTTTTATTGCATAAAATTATGTTAATTATTATCTAGGATAGGATCGGCTATTATGAGCACTGCAGGTAATATGAGTACCCTTTATACAGGGTGTCCCGTAAAGACCCGAACAACGTTTAAGGGGAGTTTCTTGAGATCATTTTGAGATGAAAATTCTAATACCAAAATGTTGAGGCTATAATAACTTTTGAATTATAAGCGTTTAAAGTTAACGAATCATATCGTCTAAAGTTGGCACGCTCAGGGGCGGCACAATGCAAAGTACTAAACTTGAAAACTGACTTATCTCAAGCAACGGAACATATTGCTGTAACGATTGATACTAGTAGTGCCAACTGTTGTAAAAAGAGGCATCTGTAATAATATTAATTTAATAACTTCTTTCTTTTTTTTTACTCTTTCTCTTAGTGTCGTAATAAACCATTGAACGTTACTTACATTTTATATTGTTTTTTTATAATATTTATTTTATTCAGAAAAAAATGATTAAATCCGCATTCATAATGTTTTCAAGTAGAAATCAGAAAACAATCAGTAATATACAATATGTTAACAATAGTGATTTTAATTGAAGTATAAAAACATCAAGTAACTATTTACATGAAAAGAACATATGATTACCTCGGTTTTTATTATTAAAAGAATCATATAAAAATAAAATGAACAAAAAAATATAAAATGATATTGTTTCATTTGTCTTCTCTATTGCATAAGATATTATTAGTTTTTTTTATCTATCAATTTTCTCTTTCAAAACTTAAGGGTAGGGATATTGAATCAAATCTAGAAAATATAGTACATACAATGCAATTTGTAAATTACATTATATTTTACATATGTATATAAGTTATCATTAAAACATCTTTTACGAACTTCGCAATAATCTCATACAAATTTTTGCTTATTCGTTTGTGCCTGTAGTATTATAACTAAAACAGTTGCAACAGACGTGATAAACTAAAATTAAAGACAACATATAAGTTCTTTTTTAAATATTTGTCACGAATTTGTAGTACACAATTATATGGTAAATATAACGTACCCCATGAAGAAATTTAAAACCAAATTGGAAAAGTCCAATTCCATTGAATCTAAGAGGGGTATGAACTATTCGTAATGAAAATTGTGAAATCTATGTAAAAAAATGTATTAGTTTAATGCGTATCTTTTGATTTTTGTATTTAGGATAAACCCGACAAATATGCCGCACTGGGATTTACGCCGTCAAAAAAAATAGAAGGAGTGGGGATAATTTTCTTGCAACTACTCTGTTACATGCCTTTATGTTATATTAGTATGGAGTTATAATTTCAGCTTCTTATTGTTAATATTAATGAAATTACTGTGAGTTGAATCGAATTGTCACTGTAATAAGTAATGCCATCATAAATTATAATCTACATAAAATGATTACTGTAGGGCGTGTAAAAGACCTAGTGGTTATTTATACATATATGTAGAGGAATAGTAAAGCATGTTGTATAGCAAAATACAAGTGCTTTGCTTTCGTATTCTTTGTTTAGTTTGTCTTGTATATCCCATCTGTTTTTGGGATATACAACATTTTTAGCGGGCGGAATTTATGCCCAAAGCATACAAAATGCGCAGATTGAAATCAGTGCACTAAATGTAATAAACGCATTATATGAAATATGTATGTTGTCATAACACTTCTAATATATGTAACTTACATACATATGTATCTTACATATATTAGAAATGTTATGACTCTTGTCATAACACTTCTAATATATGTAAGAAGATTGTAATTATTATTTATTACTTCATATACATATTTATCATTTTTATTCCGTAATAAAACTTTATAAACACATTTTATAAGTTATTGTGTCATTTTACGTCTTATTTATATGCGTTATTTGTAAATTTTTCATGAGCCTACCCCCCTATGAGTAGCCATATATATCACCCTCATGGGATATATGACAAAAATGTAAAGGTTTCAAAAAGTATATTTTTTAGTATAAAAAATTAATATTTCAGATTCCTAATATTTTTTTCATAGTAGTAGAAAGTATGAAATTTTTACTGATATAGTTTACTTGTCTCAAACATGGTAAATAGTACTTGATAAATTAAATCTCCCTTAAGTGCGGCTTATACCTATACCGGGTTTACCCTACTTGTACTTTTAATATTTACTTCAATAATATTATAAAAATTTATTTTAACACTTACGATTTCACGAATTTCAATATCATAAGTGACATATGATAATCTATTTAATAAATCTGCTGTTGCACGTGCCTGAAATTGTAATGTATGGTGAATGTAAAATTATTAAAAAACATAAATTTCTAATTTAATTTTAAAACACTATATGTCATTAATAATCTTTGAATTCGTTTATGTGTATTATAAACAAATTTTAAACTAACATTTTCTGAAATTTAATGTAATTTGACCTACCTTGATGGTGACTGTTTCGCATATATAATTAATGAGCAGGAATTTAAAAATATTATTAGACAAGCAGAACGTGTGAAGGACGATGGTCATTATTTTAGATTTGACATAATTATTCATAAGTATTGGATAGAAAATTTCGCGCAAGTCGAGCGCTATCCATCCAAAATAGCATGCCATTTTAATAGTCATTTGGGTTCCAAATATTGAGTCTATTTCACGCGATATTTTGCATAGCTCTAAGTAAAGCTGTCTGGACATGCATTCATAAATTAAGTTTTATTTCATATTTACTGTTACTCATAAACGTTACATTTTTTCCATAATGTTACCGTCATTACTATATAATTTACATAAAGTTTCTTACATAGTGATCCACATTATGCATTTGCTGCTTAATGGTTTCAAAAATCTGCCTTGATGAGGGTATATTTTGTTATTTTCCCAAGCCCGTGTTATTTTGCATTTTTGAGTTTTCATCAAATTCTGAATATGTTCATTGATTTGATCAAACTTTAATCCAATGTATCTGAATAAAATGTAGATGGAAGTTGAATTAATTAAAACTAGTAATTGCATTTTATTCGTATTTTTAAAATTTTCACTTTGGAAGTTGTGGAATGTTCTCGCATTACTATTTAGTTTTATATATTTACATAAATAATTATGCCATAAGATAAAGATATAATTGTAAGTATATATTAAAAAGTGTACTAACTCGAGGATACTTGCGTTAGTTAAATCACCTATAAAATTAATATAAAAACAATAATCTCGTAGAAAGCTGAAATACATAGTTGATGCAATGTTGCCGTCATTTTCTTCTTTCAATATTAATGCTGAACAGTATGTTATTAATATAACTGTAACGATCCATCCTAAAGCATACCACATTACTTTTCTGCGTAGCTTCTCATAATCTGTCATTGTTCCTAACTTAAGCAATGTGTTGTCGATAATATCAAATCTTTTCAAACAATTTTGGAATTTCTGTCAGAAAAATAGAATATGAAATAGATAGATAAATATTATGATAAATGTTCCGATTAGAAGAGTTAGCTCCAGTCTTTTTGACGTATTACCAAGATCGTGACCTTGAGCGATCTTCAGAACATTTTAGTCGTCGGTCGATGTTTGTTAAAAAGTTATTAACAAATATTGATTATTGTAATATAAACATACGTATCTAACTTGATATAAATTTTATTCATAAGTTTTACATAAAAATAGGAATTAAGGTAACAAATTAAATAAATTACACGCCTTAAAAAAAGTATCTCACATTAGACAACTTTACCTTATGATCATAAAGTTTCGTGTTTTCGCAATGTTATATTAATACACACATATATTCTGTGTCTAATATTCAATTTGTCAAAAAATAACTTGTAATCTGTTTGCAATATTTATTTTGTTAATGACTTTTTAATGAACAAAGCTCGACGACCAAAAAGTCTTATTCATTGTCATTACCTTGTACGTATTTTGAACTGTCTCTTAATCGGAATATTTACCATAGTTTTTATTATTAAACAAATGTTGAATTTAATAAACTATAAATTATAATCTTTATAATATACATACTTTCAGGAAATGGAAGAATTACTTTTCCATTACTTTTACAGTTACTTTGTATAATAACAACTTTATAATGATGTTGCATCTTTTTACTACTGTTATAATGATTAACTTAAAACGCTGAGGTTAGGAAAGTCACTTCGAAAAGTAAATCCTTACGCGTTACTTATTGAAAAAAGTAATAAATAATGAGTAACACAGTAAAGTTACTGCGTTACAAGTTGCATTAAAAAGTAACGAGTTAAAAGTTGCAAGTTATTTTTTTCAATAATGAATAAATTTTCAATTCATTATAAGTAACTGTTGATTGTTTCAACTTTGGTGTTACATAATTATCATAAGAAATTCGCAATGTCATTATTAGTCGTTATTACAATTAGGTATGTAAGTTGCTAACAATAAATAACGGCAGTTGCAGTAGTTAGGGGAGACCGGGGATAAAAGTATCTAACATTTTGACTTTGAAGTGTTATAACAGTTCATATATAATACTTGCATAAAAAATATGTATCTTTAGATATAGAATTTATTTAGCTACAAAATTTTCTTTGGTTTAATTATTTTATGTAACTAGAAAAAAAGTTATGTTTGTTTAAAGACTATGAGGAATTTTGTTACAACCATCCCAACCTCCAGTAACGATTATAATAGTAGAGAGGGATAATTGTACCACATTTGCCAGAGGTACATAATACAACTATATAAGTCATACTCTTTTTTGCAGCTGTACGAATGGATAACTGGTCCTTTATATCTTCTTTAAATATCTCTATTTATATAAAGACACTTCTTTTATATAGTTTTTCTTTTATCTGTCTTGTGTTTTCTTGATAATGGGATTCTATGAAGGAAAATACAAATAACATTTTACAAAATAATACTAAATAAAATCAAGTAAGTTTGGGGATAATTATAATGTTACAACTGACTCCAGACATTGATGTTACTATTGTCCCCTAATGATATTTTATGATTCATAGTAAATTTTTTAAATAAAAATCTAGATAAAAATCAATCCAAATGTGCAAACCATCAAAGCACATAATCATTAAAACATATGACAATATATTATACCTTCATTCTAAAAAAAAAAAAAATATTTTAGATTTTGTGCATGCGATAAAACTTGATAAATGAAAAATGTAATTTCCGCTCTTGCACTCGTGCACGTTCCGCGAGAACCAGCATGTAACAAACAATTTAATGCCGATTTGTCAGAATTATGCCATACAGCCGCATACACATATCTATTATAGTTTAAGAAATATTAACGATGTTACTACGTCCCATGTTATTTTTGTCCCCGGTCTCCCCTACTTTCATTCCCTGCATATTTTATCTGTGCAATTGCGTAAATAGATAAGAATATGTTTATTTTTAATAATTATGTATATTATAACAATTGCTTTTTATTAATAATATTACAAGTATTATGACAATTTGTTACCTTGTCATGGTATATTCCAAACACGATTGACAATATCGTCACAGGAATTTCTAGACGATGACCAATATTGTCCGCGAAGGACATATACTGATAAAAAGAAGTAAATGCACATAATGTGAGGAAACAGTAAACTGACCAAATTAGCAGTATATATATGACGGCATTAAACCATAATCTTGAATGATTAGATATGGCAATTCTTAAACCGAATACGTAACTCATTATTAAAAGTGGCGTTAAAATCGTACGAATCGTACTTTTGGTCATAGCGCATATGGTTTTTATTTCAAACTGTATCTTTGTTGATCAGTTGGAAGTATAAATTGAATCGAATGGTAACGGTAGTATAGATACAATTTCAGTTAAAGCACTTAGGAATATTAAAGCAATTATAGCCTATATACCACAATTTATGCCCTATTATTTATTGAAACTTATGCATAGATGATGTATACTTTTATTTTTACTCATATACGTTGGTACATAAAAACTATGAATATTCTGGTAGTTTTGTTTATTTTTTCGTCTGTCCTTTGTAATACACATTTAAGAGTGTCATTAAACATCAGTATCAATTTCAATTGCAATTGCAGTTGTAACAAATACATAAATAATGTACAAACATTATAAATATATTGCAATTATGTGTTGCTTCTCTATATTATATACAAAAACAAGTCATAATAAACTTTGACACCGTAATAAACATAACAACCCATAATAAAATGTTTGGAATAAATTGAACGTTTGTTCCATTTTATATTGTCTTCTTGTTTACTTTATTCAGAAAAAAATGATTAAATCCATATTCATAATGTTTTCAAATATAAGTCCAAAAACAATCAGTAATATACAACATGTTAATAATAGTGATTTTAATTGGAGTATAAAAACATCTCAGGTAACTGTTTACATAAAAGAAACACATGATTACTACTTTATAATTAAAAGAATCGTACGAAAACGGAATGAACAAGAAATATCAAATATTTTTTATTTATCTTTATTATTGCATAAAACATTATTAGTTGTCATACATATGGTTGTGCTTAAAATTCTTATAGTGATTATTAGTTGTTTTTTCTTATAATATATTAATTTTCTCTTTCAAAACTTATGTAGAGATATTGAATCAAATTCAGAAGATATTGTACATACAATGCATTTTGTAAATCACATTATATTGTACATATGTATACAGGGCGTATCTGAAATAACGCCCACTAATCATACAGTGCTATTCCTAATAAAAAACCGAGCCGAAAAGTCCTTTACTATTTCGCAATAGTTAACAAGATATTAATTTCTAAAAATTACCGAGTAAATGAATAAAATCAGTGTATAAAACAATTTTAAGATATCTTTCAGTATTCCTTGTGAAATAATTTGGAAACGTTTCTTAAAAAACTCTTAACGATATCTTAAAAGTTGCCTTTTACGTCGATTTTAGACATTTTGCTCATTGGGTAACTAAAAAGAGGTATTGCGAAAATTGTAAAATGGTAGAGGACCTTACGACTCAGTTTTTTATTAGGAATAGCACTATAATATATGGTTAGTGGGCGTTATTTTAGATACACCCTGTATAGATTATCATTAAACTATCTTTTACAAACTTTGTTTAATAATCTCACATAAATTTTTGCTTATTTACTTGTGCTTGTAGTATTAAAACTACAACAGTCGCAACAGATGTGATAAACTAAAATTAAAGACAACTTGTAAGTTCTTTTTTAAATATATGTCACGAATTTATAGTACGTAGTTATATGATAAATACACAACATACCCCGTGAAGAAATTTGAAACCAAATTGGAAAAGTCCAATTCCATAGAATCTAAGTGGGGCATGAACTATTCGTAATGAAAATTGTGAAATCTATATAAAAAATGTATTAGTTTAATGCGTATCTTCTGACTTCTGTATTTACTTGTACTTTTAATATTTACTTTAATAATAATTTTAACTAATATATATTTTAAAACTTACGATTTCACGAATTTCAATATCACAAGTAACATATGATAATTTATTTAATATATCTGCTGTTGCTTTTGCCTGAAATTGTAATGTATTAAAGAAATTTGTAATTTAATTTTAAAATTATATGTCAATAATAATTTTTGAATTTATTTATGTATCGTAAACAAATTTTAAATTAATGTTTTCTGAAATTTAACGTAATTTGACTTACCTTAGTGGTAACTGTTTCGCACATATAATTAATGAGTATGAATTTAAAGATATGATTTGACAAGCAGAAGGTGTGAAGTACGATGGTCATTATGTTAGATTTGATATAATTGTTAGTAAGTAATGGGTAGAAAGCTTCACGTAAGTCAAACGCTATCCAACCAAAGTAGCATGCCATTTTGATAGTCATTTGTGTTCCAAATATTGAGTTTATTTCATAGGTTATTTTGCGTAGCTCTAAGTAAAGGTGTCTGCATACAGAAATTAACTGTTATAAACGTTACATTTTTTCCATGATGTTACTGTCATTAATAGAATTTCCATAAAATTTCTTACATAGTGATCCACATTATGCACTTGTTGCTTAATGGTTTCGAAAATCTGTCTTGATCAGGATATATTCTGTTATTTTCCCAAGCCCGTGTTATTTTGTGTTTTTGATTTTTCATCAAATTCCGAATATGTTCATTGATTTGATCAAATTTTAAACCCATGTATCTAAATATAAAAAAGTAGATGGAAAATGAAATTATTTGAAACAGTAGCTACCTCTAATCAATATTTTTAAAATTTTCACTTCAGAAATTTCATTCCTGAAATATTCTTGCATTATTATTCAGTTTTATATATTTACATAAATAACTACGCCAAGATAAAGATATTATTGTAAGTATATGTAAAAATTTGTACTAACTCGAGGATACTTGCATTAATCAAATCACCCATAAGATTAATATGAAAACAATAATCTCGTAGAAAGCTGAAATACACAGTTGATGCAATAACCCCGTTATATTCTTCTTTCAATATTAAACTTGAACAGGATGTTGTGAATATAAGTATGACGATCCATCCTAACGCATACCACATTACTTTTCTGCGTAGCTTCTCATAATCTGTTATTGTTCCTAACTTAAGCAATGTGTTGTCGATAATATCAAATCTCTTCAAACAATTTTGGAATTTCTGTCACAAAAATAGAATATGAAATAGACAAATAAATATTATGGCAAATGTTCCGGTTAGAGGAGTCAGCTCCAATCCCCATGACGTATTGTCATGATCATGACCTTGAGTGACCTTAGAAGATTCTAGTCGTCGGTTATTGTTTGTTGAAAAGTTATTAACAAATATTGATTGTTATTGTATAGACATATCTAATTTGATATAAATTTTATTTGTATAAATATCACATTATTAGTATATTTATATATGTTAGTGAATTTGTAGACGGTAGAGGGACGCAATTGTACAATTATAGATTATTTCATTTTGCTTAAGGAAGATATTAGGTGGACACGGGGTGGACCTCGCTTCATGCCGAAATCAATGTGGAACTTCACTCCGCTTGGAAAGTTGTAAGGCAATATGAAACCTCGCTTTAAATTTGAAAAGTGTACGCATAGAGACACCGGATTGAGTTATTTCTTACGAAAAAGGAGCTCAACTATCAAAAAACTTGATCCGTAAGTTCGATATGAATCTCGTTTCGTGTGGAAAGTCGTAAGCTTAAGCGTGGTTCCATTGGTTCCACTTAGATTTACAATTTTCCATGCGAAGCGAGGTTCAATCTGAACATGACTGTGTTCCAAAATTGACTGCCAGTACTGAAAACCTATAGTGTACGTAACGTAACATCGTCAGCATTGGTAGTAAATTTGAAACACAGCCCATTTGTTTAGTTTTTTGTTACTTACTGATGCTCCATTTATGGGAAGGGGAGGGTGGAATAAGCATCCACAACGATTTCGATTAGAGTTCCTTCAGTAAGAGGTAAGCTATCGAGTAATGATTTTTGGTTGGTCGACATATTCAGTGAACGAAAGCGATAGTAAGTCTCATTGTCAGTAAAATAGCTTGTTATAACTTGTTTTCTCACTTTATCTCATACTCATGTTACCTATTAATGGCGAATGTGTATGAAACGGATGTCCTAACTTACTAGAGGAACTCTAGTCCGAACGAAGCAATATCCACCGCACTTTCTCTTCTTTTAAAATGAGATCTGCAATGTAAAGTCGCTTGTTATAGGATAGGCACTTGTTATAGAATAGCTTTTAATTAAGACAGCAGAGTTGTTTCTGATGTACCACTAAGTACATGTGATTGGTTCCATCATGAACTTATTACTCTTGGGTTGAAATCTATTTAGCACAAAATTCATTATTTATTGATGTGTGTTTTTTAAATCTTGTTCATTAAATAATAAAAAATATTTGGCAATAAATTCTGTATGCAATGACAGAGTAAGGTCATGTTAATAAGAAAATACGGGATATAATAATTTTCTTGATTGTAAATATTAAAAATGATGATCGCGAAACCGCAAGGCGTGAGATTCGTAATATGAGATACTAAAAAAATTTAAAAAAAATTAGGGGATTCTCTGAAGACATAGAAGTTTAAGTATTATTTATTTTCGGACTGTTTCATTTTATAATCAGTATATATGTTTGACATACTAATTGTAATTGATTCCTATTCTTAGGATTATTGTATTTTAAAATCAATGATAAAATATACAATTACTATGTATAATTAAGATTGTAATTTGTTATTCCTACGTTTGTGTAATTAAAGCGTTTATAAAGAAAGCTTTTCTTTATTTTTTCCCTTGGTTTTCTCTCGTATAAAAAATCCTCGAATATATCATATTAGAAATCCGTTTTTAAATAACAAAATTGACAATTCTGATAAAAACTTACATGTATACAACAAAGTATTGCTATTGATTGCTAATTTTTGGCGATAAAAATTGAATATACATATTTCTTATAAGTTTGACATAAACATAGGAAGTAAGATAACAAATTAAATAAATTACACGCCTTTAGAAAAAAAGTATCTCATATTACGCGCATCTTTACTTTATGATTAAGTAAAGTTTCGTCTTACCGTAATATGTATAGTATATTAATATACACATATATCCTGTGTTTAATATTCAATTTCTCTAAGAACCACTTGCATTCTGTTTACAAAACTTATTTTGTTAATAACTTTTTAATGAATAACGACCGACGGCTAAAACGTCTCAAGAGCACCACACCACATACACCATACATGACACACACACACACACACACACACACTCTCTCTCTCTCTCTCTCTCTCTCTCTCTCTCTCTCTCTCTCTCTCTCAGTGTCATTATCTTGAAAACGTATTTTTGGTGGATTCCCCTCGGAATATTTACAACAGTTTTTATTATTAAACAAATATAGAATTTAATGTACTATAAATTATAATCTTTATATTATTTTCAGGGAATAGAAGAATTACTTTTCCATTACTTTTACAGTTATTTTGTATAATAACAATTCGATAATGATGTTGCAATTTTTTATGATTGCAATGATGACTAATTATAAAACGCTGAGGTTAGAAAAGTTACTTTGAAAAGTAAATTGTTATCCTTACGCGTTACTTCCCAGAGAGCACAAAGTCATCTAAAAGACGACAGATGTCGTATTGCTAGTCATCTTATAGCCTTATTCGTATGATAATTAAAGGACGACTTCTTTAGATACCTTTTAATCGTCTTCTTTTAGTTTTTATGTTTTGGCACATATAACGTTTAATAACATAGAATTCTTAAATTAATTTTTAAACAAAACGAAATGAAATTACATGACTGACAATATACATCCTATTTCTGGGTCCTGCAATGTTTGCCGTGTTCTATGTGCAAGAATTATTATTTTTCATCATAGTTCCTTTTGGGGACTCGATTACAAAAAAATATTTTATTAGTGTTCATTAGAACACGAATAAAATTTCTCATAATGCTGCACCTTTTATTCTATCCTGTATGATTTTCAAACATGAGAAACTGCACCCCACCACCGTCTGGTAGGGATTCCACGTACTGCTCGCGAATGAATGATAAAAAGTGCCAAAATAACGGAAAGATATCTTTTTCATGTTGTCTTTTCGGCAATACGAAAAGATTTTTTCGACTTTTAGTCGACTTTTTGCTTTGCGAAAATAACAGCCATAGAAAGATGACTATTTTAAGGTGTCTTTTAGACAAAACTAAAAGATATCTTATAGACATCTTTTCGTCTTGCTGAGAAGACAATTTAAAAACGATATCTTTTTGTCATCTTTTAGACATGTTTTCGCTTTGTCGGAAAGACAACTTAAAAAAGACCTCTTTTCGTTATCTTTTAGTATTTTGTGCTGTCTGGATTATTGAAAAAGTAATAAATAATGAGTGACGCCGTAAAATTACTTCGTTACAAGTTGCATTAAAAAGTAATGAGATAAAAATTGTGAGTTATATTTTTCAGTAACGAATGACTTTTCCAACTCGTTATAAGTAACTATTGACTGCTTCAACTCTGGTGTTACATATCATCATGAGAAATTCGCAACATCATTACCAAGTCGTTGTTACAACTAGGTATAATCTAAGTCACTAACAATAAGTAATGGCAGTTGCAGTAATTAGTTACTTCCATTCCCTGCATATACTTTATCAATGCAATTGTGTAAATAGATAAGAATATGTTTATTTTTAATAATTAGGTATATTATAACAATTGCTTTTTATTAATAATATTACAAGTATTATGGCAATTTGTTACCTTGTCATGGTATATTCCAAACATGATTGACAATATCGTCACAGGAATTTCTAGACGATGACCAATATCGTCCGCGAAGGACATATACTCATAATAAGAAGTAAATGCACATAATGTGAGGAAATAGTAAACTGACCAAAACAGCAGTATATATATGAGGGCACTAAACCATAATCTTGAATGATTAGATATAGCAATTCTTAAACCAAATACGTAACTCATCATTAAAAGTGGCGTTAAAATCGTACGAATACTTTTGATCATTGTGCATATAGTTTTTATTTCAAACTGTGCTTTTGTTGATCAGTTGGAAGTATAAATTGAAGCGAATGGTGACGATAGTATAGATACAATTTTAGTTAAAGCACTTAGGAATATTAAAGTAATTATAGCCTATATACACTACAACTTATGCCCCATTATTGAAATTTATGGATGAATGATGTATATACTTTTATTTTTACTCATATACGTTGATACATAAAAGCTATGAATATTCTGGCAGTTTTGCTGTTTATTTTTTCGTCTGTCCTTTGTAATACATATTTAAGGGTGTCATTAAACATCGGTATCAATTTCTATTGGAATTGCAGTTGTAACAAATACATAAATAATGCACAAACATAAATATATTGCAATTATGTGTTGCTTCTGTATATTATACGAGTATATAAAAACGTATTCTCGTAATGATGTTCCCAGATATCAAAGCCTGCAAAGACAGATTTTGAGTAGAGCATGCCACCAACCTTTGATTGCAGAAAGGTAGCAAATCGATGGCAATAAACTTGATAAACTAAAAATAATATTAAAATATGAAAATTAAAAAAAAATATTTATTAGGAGTTTAAGAGGAGGTACATTATATAGGAAACCAAAAGAATGGTGATTTTTCGTATTTTTTTTCAAAAGGAAGACTAATATTTATCGTTTTAAAATTTCTTGCACGTTTTAATATAACTATTGTAGATTACGTACAAATTTTTATATTAAAAAAATATTATAAATAATAAAAAAATAAATTCAAAATTTAAATACTAATCGAGCTCTCGAAATTAAAAAACAATGATATAATATACGGACAACGAGAGCGTTAACACAGCGCGGGAATTGGTGCGCAATTTATACAATAGTTTAATAATATTCACAAAATATATATATTAAAATTGTACAGTGACTGTCGATTATTTGGACGTTTCGGTTATTTTCAAACCATCTTCAGCAAATTCGTAGATCATTATCGTATGTGTATTGACAATAGTTGGAAGATGTTGAAATTATATTCTATATGAGACCGAGGGCGAGTGTCTCCCTACTGTCTGATTGGGAATTATCCAATTTTTGTCTCTTCGCTGCTTAGCCAAGACTAACTAAAGAGTACAATAGGCATAATTATTATTTGCAATGTAATTTAGTTAGTAGACACTTGGCTAAGCAGCGAAGAGACAAAAATTGCGCAATTCCCAACCAGACAGTAGGGAGACATTCTCATCCTCGGTCTCACATAGAACATAATTTCAACATCTTCTAACTATTGTCAATACATCTACGATAATGATCTACGAATTTGCTGAAGATGGTTTGAAAAAACCGAAACATTCAAATAAGTTGGTGTCGACAATCACTGTACAATTTTAATATATATACAATATTATGTGAATATTATTAGGCTAGTATAAATTGCGCACCAATTCCCACGCTGTTACGCTCTCTCATTGTCTGTATATTATATCGTTGTTTTTTAAAAATATAAATATTTAGTTTGGCACCTTGCTATGACATTATGATTTTGTATACGTTCTAGCGGCCATAATTTTTGCCGGAAACAAAAATTAAGAAATATTTTTAATTGTTATAGTTTTTCATCCTAAATGAATCTAAAAAATTTTAAAAATATATATAAATTAAAATTTTATGACTTTGAAAAAGAATGTTACGATTTCACTAGGTGGCAATCGTTTCTTTATGCACAAAGAAATGGTTAATATCGATTTTTATTTAATTTTTTACTTTTTAGGTTCATCGAAGATGGTTGACTATTAGCTAACTAACAAGCCCTATAAAAAGTCGATGGTCAAATACTTTTTTTTCAATCGTGTGCACAAAATTGAAGAAAATGCAAAGAATAGATTTCGAGAAAAACGCGTTTAAAGTTTTCGACTTAGTTCTTGAATACTTACAGTGCTCTCTCGGAGGCTAATCTGTTATTCCAGGAACATACGCGCCACGGACGCACCTTCAGAGCTTCATTCTAATAAAGTTTTCACTGTCAATAACAGTACGGATCAAAATAAAATAAAATTTTCATTATAATTTAAGATTGGCCGAATATTTTTGTTTTTTATTCGTACTGATTGGATGATTAGTTTGTGAGAAAAAAAATCGTAAAGGTAGTCATTTTTCAAGTTTTGACATTTTTTATCTCGAAAACTATTAATTATCAAAAAAGTCTAAGAGACAAAAAATATTCATTTTGATCCAATTAAGCTTACAGAATTTTTCCGGAATTTTTGTTCAAAGTTCAGATTTTTCAAACAAAAAATTGTTTATAACTTTTTAACGACCACTTAAAAAAAATAAAGTGTATATAGATGCTTTTTCGCAGAATAATACGAGTATGTATGAGGAATCGAATCCAATCATTTTCAGTCGCTAGAACTTCGATCGGTCGGTTAGTGAACGCAAAATGGGAGTAAACCGCTCGCCTATAAGAGATAGAAAAAAATTTCCAGAATGAAAATTGAATCGCTTTAACAGTATTTTAGAGTATATTATTTATATTTAAATTTTTTAAAAAATTATTTATTATACATGCACGCTATGCACCCGTATCTATATATAAGCCTTGAATTTATACCGAAGGACTTAGATTTTCGCTTTAAAATTTTAGAGACGTATCCCCGAAGAGTTGTACTATCAATTTATGAAAAAAAAAATCGATTTTTTTGACCCTCTAACGTATGAAACCCCTTTAACTATATATTCCGTAACAGGATCTTAACTTTGTAATATATAATTATATCATAAATATAATGTACTGTTAAGAAATTTGATTTCAAATTGGAAAAACGCGATTTCACAGAATTTGAGTGGTGTATAATTTAAACTATTTTCTAATGAAATCTTCCTGGTGGAAATTACGACCTGGCGCTATATGGGCCCCATCTAGTTTTCCACGAGTTAATGTAGGCGTTATATTGGAAGGCTAGCCTGTGGCTATACTGGGCGGTAACGGCAATAATGACCAGCCCTAATATTGGAAAACTTTCTTGGCTTTGGTTCGCGATGATCTGTAAGTCCAATATTGGAAAATTATCTAGGTCCTGGTTCGCGAGGTGGTGTCGTTGAAATTTGAAAAAACTGTCTAGGCCTTGATCACGAGGCAGTGTATTGCCCCAAGATATTAAATTTGTCTAGTCGCTATCTAGGAAGGGACAGGATAATCTAGTTAAATTTAAAATAAATTTTAAACACATAATGCGTCGTCTATAATTTAGGGAGTAAGAAGTAAGAGTAAGAAATTGACCAATCGTAGTCGATTATGAGAAGAATACTATCGTCGATATATCGACTGTGATTGGTTAATTTCTTATTCTTACTTCTTACTTCATATTATTGAATAACATTAGTTATATTAAAAACTGGTTATTATCATGGTAGAAGAATAAGGGTATGCTCAATCAGTGGTAGACCACTGCGCATGTATCAAGCATACGCGTCACATTTGGTCAGCCTTCGGCTATATCCAGAGCGGTTTGTGTCAATGTAATATGGTCGCCATATCGTCAACACATGTGCAGCACGTGCCGAATAAATTCTGTGATACAAAGTCGAGTGAGTTCACATTCAAAATATGTTGTGCGGTTAAAGGATGCGGAAATTATCATCATAAGACAAAAAATGAGTCGGATTGAAAGGCATGCTTAGCATACATTCGAATTTCGCGCTTAATGATGACGTATGGTTGCTACATATTTTGATTGGACAGTTGGCGTGGCCATGCGCAAGAGCATACCCTTATACTTCTACCATGGTTATTATAATCCTGCCTCACCGGTCGGGCTCTAGAGGCTAGCCCCCGGCTAGATATTCCATCTTGGCATCCTTCTGCATAATTCTGTCTAGCGCCTAGATGAAATACTAGGTAACGCCCGGCTAGATTTCTGATACTAGCGTGCCACGACCTTCCTCACGGGGCCTAATATAGAACATTGGAATGTCCAGACATTTCCACTCGGGCTACGAAATCTCTATTAACTAATGTATAATGTAGTTTCTTAGCAGAGTATAGTCACCTCCTGTATTTTTACCCCAGTGGCGCAAAAAATTTGAATTATTAAAAAATGTTATTTTATTTGAATATTGTTTAATATAATTTTTTCTTCTTTCATAACTACTTTTCACGAACTTTTAGATATGTGTGCAATTCTATCGAAAAATAATAATAAAATTATATTAATATAATGATATTAATTAAAATCTTAGTTCTTCAGATATATGTATAGTGTCATAATAAATTATTGAACGTTTATTCCATTTTATATTGTCTTCTTGTTTATTTTATTTTATTTACAGAAAAAATGATTAAATCCACATTTATAATGTTTTCATATGTAATTCGAAAAACAATCAGTAATATACAACATGTTAATAACAGTGATTTTAATTGGAGTATAAAAACATCTCAGGTGACTGTAGGTAAACATAAAAAACACATGATTACTCCCGTCTTTATAATTAAAAGGATCGTACAAAAACAAAATGAACAAGAAATATTAAATATCTTTTATTTATCTTTTTTATTGCATAAAACATTATTAGTTTTTCTTCACATTTTAATTTTCTCTTTCAAAGCTTATATTGGATTAAATCCAGGAACATTGAATTAAATCCAGAAGACATTATACATACAATGCATTTTGTAAATCACATTATATCGTATACAGATTATCATTACATTATTTACAAATTTTGTAATAATCTCATATAAATTTTTGCTTATTTACTCGTGCTTGTAATATTAAAACTACAACAGTCGCAACAGATGTGATAAACTAAAATTATAAAGACAACTTATGAGTTCTTTTTTAAATATATGTCACAAATTTGTAGTGCATAGTTATATGATAAATTTAACGTACCCCGTGAAGAAATTTGAAACCAAATTGGAAAAGTCCAATTCCGCAGAATCTAAGAGGGGCATGAACTATTCGTAATGAAAATTGTGACATCTATGTAAAAAATGTATTACTTTAATGCGTGTCTTTTGACTTTTGTATTTACTTGTACTTTTAATATTTTCGATAATAATTTTAACGAATTTATATTTTAAAACTTACGATTTCACGAATTTCAATATCACAAGTGACGTATGATATTCTATTTAATAAATCTGCTGTTACATTTGCCTGAAATTGTAATGTATTGTAAATGTAAAATTATTAAAGAATGTAATTAAAGAAACTTCTAATTTAATTTTAAAACTATATGTCAATAATAATCTTTGAATTTGTTTATGTATTGTAAACAATTTTTAAATTAACGTTTTTTGAAATTTAAAGTAATTTGACTTACCTTGGTGGTGACTGTTTCGCACATATAATTAATGAGCAGAAATTTAAAAATATTAGTAGTCAAGCAGATCATATGAAAGACAATGGTCATTATTTTAGATTTTACATAATTGTTGATAAGTATTGGGTACAAAATTTCGCGCAAGTCATTCGCTATCCAACCAAAATAGCATGCCATTTTGATAGTCATTTGGATTCCAAATATTGAGTCTATTTCGTGAGATATTTTGCGCAGCTCTAAGTAAAGGTGTCTGGACATGCATACATAAATTATGTTTTATTTTACGTATACTATTATTTATAAACATTACATTTTTTCCATAATGTTACCATCATACATAGTGATCCACATTATGCATTTGCTGCTTAATGGTTTTGAAAATCTGCCTTGGTGAGGATGTATTCTGTTATTGTCCCAAGCCCGTGTTATTTTGCGTTTTTGAGTTTTCATCAAATTTTGAATATGTTCATTGATTTGATCAAACTTTAATCCTATGTATCTGAATACAAAAAAAAGATGAAAATTTAATTATACATATAATCGGAACTAGTATCTGCATTGTATTCGTACTTTTAAATTTTTCACTTCGGAAGTTGTGAAATGTTCTTGCATTACTATTTAGTTTTATACAGGATGTTTCATGAATGTATGTTAGTAACTGTATGTTAGTTACTGTAAAATAAATTTATATACTACAATAAGTAAAAAACGTCATATAAATATATGTCCTACATACCTTAGTTCTCAAGTTATGGATGATTAAGAAAATGTTCGAAATGCCTGCCTTGTGCGTCAAAACATGCTACTGCATGCCTTAGCATTGAGTTCCGCACTCGTTCAAAAATACCAGGTATTCTTCGAATAATCTCAAATCCATTTCGTATCCTTTCTCGCAGATCATCCACATTGTTTTCTGATTTGAATACACAATAGATTTTAAATGGTCCCAAAAATAAGAATCTAAAATCTATGGATTGAGATCAAGAGATCGTGGTGGCCATGGGGTGGTTCCACCTGCCCTATCCATCGGTTTGCGAAGATGTTAGGAATATCCTCACTTCAAAATGAAAATAAATAGGCGAATCGTGCATGAACCACAAGTTTTGCCTGATAGCCAGGACTGTCATGACTGCTTGAAATTCTGTCCGATTTGTATTGATAGATATTGTTTGAAAACATAGCGTTTTCGAGTGGTTTGAATCTGACCTGGTTCGGTTAACCCATGTTTGACCTGAAAGTATCATAACGTCTAATTAGAAATCAAAGTAAAGCATGTGACGTCATCGATCCGACCCGAATTAGGTTCAAATCTACTCCATTCGAAAACGCTATTAGATAACGTCGAGTCATGTTGTACAATAGCGTATGACGCAGAAGGTGGGCATTTCGAACATTTTCCTTAATCATCCATAACTTAAAAACTAAAGTATATAGGACATATGTTCATATGATGTTTTTTACTTACTTTAGTGTATAAATTTACCTCCTAAAGTATTGAGATGTTTTTATGAAACACCCTGTATATTTACATGAATAATTATGCCATAAAATAAACATATAATTGTAAATATATGTAAAAAAGATGTACTAACTCGAGGATACTTGCATTAGTCAAATCACCCATAAAATTAATATGAAAACAATAATCTCGTAGAAAGCTGAAGTATACAGTTGATGTAATGTTGCCGTCATTTTCTTTTTTCAATTTTAAAGCTGAGCTGTACGTCATTAATGTAACTGTGACGATCCATCCTAAGGCATACCACATTACTTTTCTGCGTAGCTTGTCATAATCTGTCATTGTTCCCAACTTAAGCAATGTGTTGTCGATAATATCAAGTTTCTTCAAACAATTTTGGAATTTCTATCACCAGAATAGAATATGAAATAGATAGATAAATATTATGGTAAATATTCCAGTTAGAGGAGTTAGCTCCTGTCACTTTGACATATTGTCAAGATCATGATCTTGAGTGACCTTCAGAAGATTTTAGTCATTGTTTGTTAAAAGGTTATTAACAAATATTGATTATTATAATATAAACATATGTAATTGTGTAAATAGATAAGAATATGTTTACTTTTAATAATTAGGTATATTATAACAATTACTTTTTATTAATAATATTAAGAATATTATGGCAATTTGTTACCTTGTTATGGTATATTTCGAACATGATTGACAATATCGTCACAAGAATTTCTAGACGATGACCAATATAGTCCGCGAAGGACATATACTCATAAAAAGAAGTAAATGCACATAATGTGAGGAAACAGTAAACTGACCAAATCAACAGTATATATATCGCACTAAACAATAGTCTTGAATGATTAAGTATGGCAATTTTTAAACCAAATACGTAACTCATTATTAAAAGTGGCATTAAAATCGTACGAATACTTTTAGTCATCGCGCATGTAGTTTTTATTTCAAACTGTGCTTTTGTTGATCAGTTGGAAGTATAAATTGAATCGAATGGTAACGATAGTATAAATGCAATTTCAGTTAAAACACTTAGGAATATTGAAATAATTATAGCCTCTATACTACAATTTATGCTCCATTATTTATTGAAACTTATGGATAGATGATAGATATATTTTTATTTTTACTCATGTACGTTGATACATAAAAACTATGGGGAGGGCTCCGTTTGCCTACAAAACGATTGCCTACAACTTGGTTTGTACACAGCAATATCACACACAGCGTATTGCACACACGACAATATTACACACAGCGTATTGCGCACATGACAATAGTGCACACAGCACATTGCACACGCGACATTATTGCACACAGTGTATTGCACACAGGACATTATTGCAATCGTTTTGTAAGCAAACGGGATCCTGCCAAAACTATGAATATTCTGACAATTTTGTTTTTTATATTTTCGTCTGTTCTTTGTAATACATATAAGAGTGTCATCAAACAGTATCAATTTTAATTGCGATTGCAGTTATAACAAATACATAAATAATGCATAAATATTATAAACACATTGCAATTAAGTGAATTGCTTTTCTATATTATGTATAAAAACGTATGCAACGATGTTCCCAGATAGCAAAGCCCGCGGAGGCAGATTTTGAGTAGAACATGCTACCAATCTTTGATTGCAGAAAGGCAGCAAATTGCACATAAAGTTTGTACTATTTGCCAATGTTAGCAAACTGCTGTTAGAAATAGGACAAAGCCTGTTGACATGTTTTGCCAGAAGATGTACTGCAGAAACTGAGGGAAATTTTGCAGCTTTTGTTTCTGCTGTCAGTCTGCTGTTAGCAAACTGCTGTCAGTCTGCCGTCAGATTCTCTATACGGATAGATCTTGTTTGGCTTCTGCCACTAATCTGCTGGTATAATATGTCAGCAGGCTCTGTCGACAGATTCATAGTCAAATGCGGATACAAATGACTATGATTTTGTAAATGGGAATTTGATGGAATTGGCTGCCAATTTGCCCGCAAACTGCTAGAATTTTGCAATCAGATTTGTAGTAAGAGATTCGTAGAGAGATAATAATCTATATAAAATCATAATAAAATCTTTATATTCATTGCATAAAATGCGATTAATTATTATCTATATTTAATAATAATAAAAATTTAATAATCTTATTGCAATAATCTTATGTTAATTTTTGCTTATTTACTTGTGCTTGTAGTATTATAACTACAACAGTCGCAACAGATGTGATGAACTAAAATTAAAGACAATTTGTAAATTCTTTTTTAAATATTATTGTCACGAATTTGTAGTACGCAATTATATTAATTATAACGTACCTTGTGAAGAAATTTGAATCCAAATTGGAAAAATCCAATTCCATAATATCTAAGAGGGACATGAACTATTCGTAATGAAAATTGTGAAATCTATGTAAAAAATGTATTACTTTATTACATACATTTGATTTTTATATTTACTTGTACTTTTAATATTTACAGTAAGAATCTTATTTTAATAATTACTTTAATAATAATTTTAACGTATTTATTTTTAAACTTACGATTTCACGAATTTCAATATCACAAGTAAGATATGATGATCTATTTAATAAATCTGCTGTTGCACTTGCCTGAAAATGTAATATATGGTGAATGTAACTAAAGAAATTTCTAATTTAATTTTACGATTATATGTACATAATGTGAGGAACAGTAAACTGACCAAATCAACAGTATATATATCGCACTAAACAATAGTCTTGAATGATTAAATATGGCAATTCTTAAACCAAATACGTAACTCATTATTGAAAGTGGCATTAAAATCGTACGAATACTTTTGATCATTACACACATAATTTTTATTTCAAACTGTACTTTTGTTGATCAGTTGGTATAAATTGAACCGAATAGTGACGGTAGTAAATGCAATTTCAGTTAAAAAGCGCTTAGAAATATTAAAATAATTATAGCCTCTATACCACAATTTATGCCTCATTATTTATTGAAAGTTATGGATAGATGATGGGTATATTTTTATTTTTATTTATATACGTTGACATATAGAAAGTAGGAATATTGTTTTAACAGTTCCGTTTTTTATTTTTTCTTTTGGTTTTTATAATACATATTTAAAAGTATTATTAAACGATGTTATTGATTTCAATTGCGATTGCTATTGTAACAAATACATAAATAATTTATAGACTATCTATAAACTATTTATAACTGTTGAAAAAAATTAAAAAAATTTTTTTGTTAACAATTGTTAAACAAAAAATTAAAAAAAAATTTTTTTTCTTCGCAACATTGAAGTACTCTTGAAACCGTACAACTTTTGTGTTTAAAAAATTTTTTTCCATCTTTTATATTTCCGATGGTATTCGGCTCGAAATGGAAATATTGTTTTTTTTCAAAGGGATGCTTCTTAAACATGAATTAACGCACGTATAAAAAAATACGTGTCTCTTAGATTTTTGAGTTTAACAACATATTTTATGGGGAATTGAATCGATGCCGGACAGTTGGGTGATGTTCCTTGTTTATTATATTATAAGCAGTTTATTCTGCTTTATCTACATTCAAGCGCTTTGTCAAAACTTACCGGATACGCTGTATAGTGAATCTTAATGATTACTTATGAAATTATATTCAGTAGCTCGCTGTTACATTACGCTAATATGCTAATACTCAATAGTAATACTCAGCACTTATTATAACGCATTTTTACTTTCA